CCAAACATACAAATCAAGAAACTACTTTTCAATCAAGAACTAGTTGGTGTTGGTTCAATTGTTCAAGAACCGGTTGGTGTTGGTTCAATTGCTCAAGAACCAGTTGGTGTTGGTTCAATTGTTCAAGAACCAGTTGGTGTTGGTTCAATTGTTCAAGAACCAGTTGGTGTTGGTTCAATTGTTCAAGAACTAGTTGGTGTTGGTTCAATTGTTCAAGAACCGGTTGGTGTTGGTTCAATTGCTCAAGAACCAGTTGGTGTTGGTTCAATTGTTCAAGAACCAGTTGGTGTTGGTTCAATTGTTCAAGAACCAGTACCAAAATTCAAAAGAAAATAAATAAAAAGGATGTAATAATCAAGAAATTCAATAAGAATAAGAATTTACCCATGCCCATGAAAGGCACAAAGTCTTCGACGGTAACTTGAACACCCATCTCAGCAAAAACATCCACAGCCGCTTTTCTTGATGATTCCTCACTATTGCAGAGCACACCATCCATATCAAACAACACAGCCGACACTTTCCCCCATTGGGTATCCGATACATTCTTCTCTTCCAATTTTTGGGAAGCACTTACCTTTAAACCCATCTTTCTTGATTCAAACTCCAAGATTCTGAAGGGTTTTGAAAGAAATTGAAAGGATAATTTGGATCTTGAATTGAAAAGTGTAGCTAGTTTGGGTTTTCCATGACTATAAGTGGGCAGTAGAGAGGGTGTAAGCCTTAACGCCATTTTTTCTCTCAATTCTTTTCTCTTGGCCTTTGCTTCTACTGAAAAAGCCTTTATATAATTATTATTGGGTGGCGGGGAAGGGGATGCCGTTGAGTTCCATGTGATTGTACTATTTTACCCTTTTATCCGCTTTGGAAATAAGCGGATAATTAGAATTTATTTGTCTTTTTTTTATGTGACGGAAATCTTGGGGCATTTAAAAAAAATTCTATTATACATAAATACCCTTTGAAGGCAGTCAGCAGGTTAGTTGGTGTCAAATAACTGTATCTATTATAAAGCTTTGACAAATAAGAAAGAAATTAGCTAAAATTTCATTGTTCTCAAGTCAATTCATTAATTACTAAGTCACACTCTTGAATACTCAAAAGCAATCTAGTTAATATGCTCACTTATATTGTACACTTCTTTTTAGAATTTTCAATTATAAAAATAAATTTAAACGTCAATATTAGAGTGAACATTATGTTTTAAAAAGTCACGGTAATGTTTTTTGAAAATTCACACGTCTCATTTTTGTTTGTTTGTTAGAAGACATTTTACAGCAGACAATTTTATGTTTCGTCTTAAAGAAATTTTGCATCTTTTTTTCCTTGAAAAACTATTTCTAAGCAATAAAATTGACTTCTTCCTAAAAAAACATGATAACTAAAGGGAAGTAGTACAAAGCTTACGAGATAGAAACAAAAACAACAAAACAATGTGATAATTAAAACACACACTGTGATAGATATCAAAAATTAAAAGAATCACAATAATACAACAACAAACACCAACAAGCCTATGCCTCAAAAAGCAAAACAACCCCCTCCACTACCAACTAACCTACAAATGCTGCTTCTTGACACACTAGTTTTCAAAGACTAGAAGCTATATACATCTCCAAAACATCATGCTAAGGTTGTAAGATACTTACAGATAGAAACCTATACATATCTTCCAAAACCCACCAAGGTAGCAACTGAAATCGACTAGGCAAAAAAGCCCCAATCCATCTGAAATATGGGGTTACCTGTCTTACCATTATTCGATATTTGTACCGTGGACTCAATAAAGGATGCATTAGGGAGAATGTTGCTTCCAGTATCAGCTTGTGAAATCACATGATAACCATGATCATTTCCTGATGGTGCACCAAAGTTGATCATACTCGGGACCAAACCCCTGTGCAAGTTTGGATTTGTTGTAGTTTCTTTGTTCTTATGCTGTTCATAAGCAGCCATTTCTCAGATATATCTTTCCGTATCCAGCTTACTTGCTTCAATATAAGGCTGCAAAAGTTGGAAGGAAACGATGAACAAGGAAAAAAGTTTTACTTCCCACTTGTTACATGGAGCAGTGTAAATTATGTTTAAAGAAACATAGGAGGTGATTCATATCATTTTAAATCTGCTAGCAACAATATGACAAGTACTTCATCGTACCTCTTTGTCATTTTCAGTCAGTCTTCCAGGCATTAATGGCCATATCTCTGATTTTCTTAGAACCAGAACTCTCCCCAAGTATTTTCTTTAGTCTTTCACATTCCAACTTGAAATACATCTGATATGAACTCCTTCCTCTTATTGGAGCACCGGGGTCTTTCCTCAGATACCTGTTGGTTGATGAACTCTGAGATTTTTGCTCTGGTGTCTCTGGCCCTACTGAAAGAAAAATTTATGATCAATTTGAGTCCTGACCTAAGAAAATATGACAGTGCCTGAGGTAACAAACTCAAATTTGAGGTTAAGTTGGACAGATAGTAACTTTAAGACATTGCAAGGACTAGTATCAATTCAAGTAATTGCATGAAGGGAAACTTAGATCCAAACAAATAGCACACATCTGAATGGAACATGCCAGGATAGATACATGTCTTTTAAGGTTAATTGATGACTTCTAAATGGAAACAAATAACATCTTCTACTCTGTAATTTTTTTTTTAATGAAAGAGGTAAAAGAACTTCTAGTATGTATTGCTGCAAAGATTAATCTTGATACCATGTGTCTCTCACTTTTCATCTGTTCCCCCTCATTTTCTCCTATCCTGTTTTCTTTTTGGCTTAAGACATTTCTTCATCCAAGGGAATTCATACATGTCATATACACCAAAATAGAATAAATATTTGGCATTTAAATCATATCCAATCAAAGAGACGATCAAGAGTGATACAGGAGTAGTTCAAGTAAGCTTTTGAGGTGTGAGTTTGAAGTATCTTTGCATAACAAGTCTCTTCCCCCCACCCCCCCACTTCTTCTTCTTTTTTTGTCTAGACAAGTCTGGTAGATATATTATATATTCTTGTCACTACATTATTAGAAATCTACCAATTCCTTTTCACAGTTAGACCACAAAAATAGCAATTCCATAATGTTTTAGTCTCTACAATTGTACCAACTTAGGTCCATCCCCAGCTTTATAGGACATAAAGCATGAGTGTGTCCATTGATGGCTTAAAAAAACTTTCTTGAAAAGTGACATTCCAATGAGAAGTTCCGAAGCTTAAAGAACTGTAAGTCTTTGTGATAATGAAGAATAACAAACCTGTCAAAACTAGGTGACTATCATTCTTGCACTTCCTTTTTTCTACTGGACTGTCCCTATCATTAGAGTGCAAAGTTACCACGGGAGATGACCGATCACAAAATTTCCTCTTCCCCGTGGAGTCATCTGACCTATCGGCAGAACCGTGTTAATTCGTTATTTTTCACAATACCTCTCAGATACACTTCTTTGCTGATTGAAATATGATACAGTGAATAAGCTTATGTTATCTGTTGTCCCCTTAATCATCACATAAACAGCAACTAGTCATCAGATATGAAAACTAAGGCATGGAGCAGTTAGATATCAGAAACACATAGAATCTTAAGTGACTATTTTAGATAAGGTCTAATCGAAAGTGACTATTGACTACAGCATATTTGCTCCATTTGTGTACTCTTTGTGGACTTGCTCTGCCGTGCAGTTCAGAGAACTACATCCATCAAAACAGTTTGTGAATGATTTCACTGATTCTTCAGCATGTTCCTGGTTAATTTCATATGTTTAAGAATAAGTGATGATACGCCCTTTTCACGCAAATTTATGTAAATTCTACTAATGGTAAACTCGAGATACCATCTCCTCCACTATACCAAAAAGGTTTTCAATGAGTAAAAAGGAAAAAAGGATCCTCCAAAATGCTAAAACACAATTCAGTAGTATTATAATGATAATATTTTATTTTAATAAGAAGTTCTTAATTGAAATAAGCAGCTAGGCTTGTTAGTTAACTTCTAATGGTACACCAAGACAAGGAAAGAAGAAAAAAGGAAACATACAAGCAGTCAGAAGGTTGAAAAGACAATTCACCTCAATGTTATTGTTAGTACCCTTTTAGTCTACCAACAATTTTATGCATGGAAATTAAATCAGTAGCTATTAATTATGTTTTTCTGCTTTCTCTGTAATAGTTCTGTAACAGTGTTACAGTGTTTTCCTGTAGCAGTTGTTTTCTCTGTAGTAGCAGTTATTAGCAGTAAGGAGGTTATTTTTCCACTTTCTCATTTCAGTAGTAGTGGGAAGTTATTTCCTTGTTATTAGGTGGGTGGTTAATCACCAATGTTGTATTTAAGTTATTTGAATTCAATGGATGAAGGGAGCAGAAAATTAGTCAAGTTTTTGAGTACTTCAAACTCAATAGATCGCAGGTTCTCTCTTAACGAACCAGCACCATAGGTAGAAAAAAGAAAACTTCAGAATTTATCTTGCAGCGTCCCACAACTAGATCTATAACCGGGGACCATAACAGTTATATTGACATATTAAGAGAAGTACAGACCAGGAGTTCACTCTACGACATTAAGCAGTGCCGCAAACTGAGCTTCCATGTTTTCTGCCAAAAGCCAAAGCAATATCATAGGAACAGAAATAGAAGACACCAGCATGAGATTAAAAAAAAATAGGGTAGGAAATTAACTAGGAAATCGGAAACCTACCTTTTCAGCAGTAGAGTTCTTGAGAGACTGATATAGCAAGGATAAAATTTCATCGATGAAACTTTGAAGATTGGGTGCCCAGAGTAAGATCCAACACATTCATGGTCCGTTATGACCAGTACATATGAACCTGAATGCAAGAGCAGCGCACACTAGATCAGAGCAACCTTTAACATTCTACCATGTTATGTCTTTTCAATCTTCTTTTGAGATAAGGCTAATAATCAAAAAATGTTTTTCAGTGTCATGATAAAATTTGTCGTAAATTTCATAGTCCTGGTTTTGCTCAATACCTAAGATGTAAGATACCCGTCAAACGCATAATTGAGCAAGACCAAGACATTGGTATATACTTTGTATATGTGTGTGATAATTTTATGGAACAAAAATCTTCAAGAGAATGAGCAACAAAGGGTACATTCTTGACATATATAATAGACATTTTTTCCTGATAATGTAAAGATTTATTGATGTATGTCAGAGAGCTGACCTGCTATTGAAATATAAAAAACAAAATCCTGATCTTTTAGTTCTTCCTAAAAGTTCTTACCAGCCAAAAGCTTTAGTATGCCTATAACACCAAATATTTTCTGAATTTTGGGAACACGAACCGAACTGCGCTCTGGAACCTCATCTAACATAGCAAACAAGTACATATCATTAGCTTAATAAATAATTTAAGTCCGGAAGAAATTTATAAAGAGTAAAAGAAGCAACCTATTAGTTTCACAGACACATCCACGCAAACTGATCTCCAAGCACAAACCACAGGATCCATCAGTAGGCTCAACAACATACTGATCTGGAAATTCCCAAAGGCCGCATCCTTGTATATAATTTCTGTGAAGGGTCTCCCTTCTCCATCATAATTAAAATGCTACAGACACTGAAACACAAAGTTGATTACCAAATCATCGCCTTTCCGAATCAATTTAAGTGGGATATGCAAAATACAGAACATAACAACACAAGAATTGTAAACTCTGATACTTGCAACACATGTATGCATTATGCAGCTAGGTTTATACAAGTAATATATATATATATGGATGTTTCATCAGTACGCTCTGTGACATCCTTATCAATTAGTAGTGCAAACAGATGTTATGTAATTAAGAACAAAATAATGCAGAAATTATGTGTGTCAGTTCAAAGTCCTTTCTTTCCTCGGAAAACAATAAAGTACTCCCCTGTTACAATTTGTTTGTATTACTTTCCCTTTTAGTCCGTTTTAGAAAGAATGATTTTTTCCTTTTCTTGAAAGGAACACAAGATTCAAAATTCTCTGTTAAGATGTCCCACATCGGTAGAGGGATGGGAATTTGGTCTCCTTATATAGACTTGGACAAACCTCCCCTCAAGAGCTAGCTTTTGGGGTGTGAGTTAGGCCTAAGACCTAATTTAACACTTTCTTTATTTTCTTGAACTCCGTGTCAAGTCAAAATCAAACAAACAAATTGAAACTGAGGGAGTATCTCCTAGTAGTCAACAAGAAACTAATCCAATAAAATGGCAGCACACTGGAAATAATAATACTAGGTTCAGTTAATAGTTTGCAGATGGCGCGCATACATGAAGCTAAGTACTATTTAAAGAATGCTTTCCAAAATTTCAAATGGCGGATTAGTATGAAACCAAGTTGCAGGTGACAGCACATAATGAACGTTACCTACTCAACATGACATACAAACCTAACAACTAGTTGCTGGTAAGAAGCATCATTACCTGTTCAGTACCATCAACAAAATTGTTCAAGTAGTATCATGTTAGGGCATTACATCCGTCAGCGAGAACCCCCTGGGCTGTTCTGTTACCACATCTGCATATCAAACAACAATGTAGATTTTATAGTGATATTGATCGACAAAAGAAAAGGCTTGAGGTCATAAAATCAACTTGTTGACTATAACTTTTTTAGTTGTATGCTATATCCATCATGATCTCTAGATAAATTTGTGCAGTTGGCATTTAAAGATCCAATCCCAGATGCTTACTCTTGATATGAATTTAATTGGCCAAAAATTAGTACCAATGTCAATGATGGGTTATATAATGTTCGTTGATTTAGGAACTTTGGTCAGGGTTTCAATCCTACTACATATGTATTTATATTATTGCACTCCCCAAAAATATGCTTTGCACTAATGCTGCCTTCATATGATACCATCTTCTTTTAGCAGAACAAGAAAGTTGTTACCTGACAAAATTTCCCTTTAAAGCTGGAGTACCAGAATACTGGATGCTTATATCATCCCCATGGCTGGCCCACACTGCAAATAGTTTTTAAGGTAATAGAATAAACAGGGCAAGATAAAGAAGCTTAATATTTATCCAGCATAGAAGCTTTAACACAGATATCAAAAAACTTCTCACAGAGTTTGAAGCTTTGGTCAAGGTTGAGTGTGAGCTAATAGTTTCTTCAGCATCGAAAGCACCAGACTTCTCAGTTTGAATTCAAGCATTTTCCGACCTAGCATGCTCTGCAAACAAACATCATCTTTTAGGGAATCTGTAAAGTGTGCTGAGAAGTTGAAAAAAGTGGATCCAAATGAGTTAATTGGTACAGGCTTCACTTATTGGATAATTATCTAGCTCTGTGATTCTCCCTGTCATATTGGATTCAGGGGAAGAGAGAGCTAGATCATTAATGGATTGAGATTCCTGCACCATCACATCTGCATTGTTTGTCATCAATGGATTCATTTCTAGTAAGCATAAAAACGGGAGTCACTATTAACTACAGATGATATGCTAGAGGAACACTAGAACCAGCAGCTTTCCATCAACTAGGAAAAAGACAATAGTTAGCAGCTAAAGCATACAGCTTAGGGGAGCAGTGAACAGGATATCCTTCAACAAATTATAGAGTCATTACAAAAAAGAGCTTATTCACAAGTTTTTCCATAAATAACACAAAAGAGATTCAGCATTCTACATTTGTCAATGGTACATGAAAATGGGCAGCTCTTAACATGTTAATTTAACTACATACTATGGCTACCAGAGTCACCATCGAGGATATCTTCAAGTGAAATATCGCTTATCTCCTTTCTGATGAGGGATGGCTCCGCTGCTTTTAAAGTATCTTCTGATAGTGTTGTCGTCACAGCTATACATCTGCAAGTAAGTCAACATACTTAAGAATGTAGAAAAAATGGAATCAAATTGATCACTAAACCAGATTCTTTTTTAGCTGGATTGATCTTACCCATATAACCCAGATTCTTATTTGGATTTTATCAACTCTTTAGTCTTGTGATAGACCTTTGGATTTGTCAGCTCTTTAGACTTATGTTTTTGTTATTTTTGTATGAGCTGGCATCTCCTCCTCTTTTGTAACTATGCATCTCCTTGATGCCTTTGTGATTTATGAAACACTTCATCAAAGAAAAAATTGATCACTAAAACCAGAGGCAAAGAGGTACATTAGAATGTTAGAATGACGCTGATACAGCTTACTGATTCAGTTAGCAGATGCAACAAACGAAGGAAGTTCAAGTAGGGTTGGCGATACCAACAACTTAGCTGGAGTACAAACTCCCAAAGCTGCAGAATTGAGTTTTTTTTTTTCAGTTTAAAAAAAAACTCATTTCTGCAGCTTTGGAAGCTTGTACTCCAGCTAATGCATCTTCAATCACAATTCACTGTCAACATCGAGGATTATGATAATGTCTACCAAGGTTGACAAACACAACACTGATCTACTTAACACTTCAAAACTTCATCATCCTCGAACAATGAACCTTCAGCAATTCATAATGCACCCCCCATTATTTTATATCCATATTTAGAAAAACTGTTCTGACTGACAGAATGACGACTGAGCATCTCTTTTCTGTCCAGAAATATAATTTTCAACATAAAAGTTTCTAACATATTTATCAAGTTTTTAGTTTCTTCTTTGCTTAAATTTTCTTTTCCAGCTAGCTTCATCTGATTATTACAGTCATTTATGAATAATGATGTAGGGAACTCTCACTTAAACATAATGTGAATGTGAACCTCAGTGATATCTTAGTTAACTAGAAGTTTCTCGTCAGATTAGCATCACATACTACCCACAGCTAAGTGTCTAAAAAGAAAAAAATGAGATGGGTGGTAGCAAAGCAGCATTGCACATCCTGGAAACTACCTCACTAGTGGGAAACATCAAGAATCCGTGATGCAGCCAAGAAAATATCAGGAGCAGGCTTCAAAGTTCTAAAAGCATCAGCTGATACAATTGCATCAAGCCTGACAAACCAAAGAAAAAGGATATGAGGTCAAATATAAATAAAAAGATAAGTAAAGACAAAGGAGAGGAAGGCAGGGAGATTTCAATTATGTCACTGCAAACCTGTGATTTTAATCCGAGTTGTACACTTTCGCTTGTATAACCTCAATAAAGTACTATGTTCTTGCAAACTACATTATCAACCAATGAATAGTGTGTGTTTGCATATATACCGTGAAGAAATGAACGTTGAACGTAACTCAACCACGAAAGTTAGCTCATAAGGGAAGGATTACCCAAAATCATATAAGGAGACACCCACCCACCCCACGCAGGGGCGTGCCCAGGACTAGAAAACATAACACGGGGGATCAATATTGAGAAAGAGAAACATAATAACATGGCTCGATGGATCTGACACTAATACCATGTGAAGAAATGGACCATGGGCCTAACTCAACCCCAAAAGCTAGCTCATAAGGGAAGGATTGCCCAGGATCATATAAAATGATCACAAATTTGAGAGCCTGAGCGCCTGATTCCATGACTAACAGATTCATTATGTCAACAAAATGTTTATGTCCAGCAGTTCCCTGAGCAGAAGTTATACCAAAAAGTCAAGTGTCACAGGAGTAGATATCAGGTTGTGCTCTACAATAAAACATATCTATAGTGATAATTTAAATAACTAAAGTTCGTTCTAGGTGCTGATTCAGTACAATTCATTGTTTCCCGAATGAGGAATGAGAAGCAACTATTCACAGTTAAAGCACATTCAATTCACATTGTTATTGGTAAAACCTGCTGCAGCCAAGTTTGCATTAACTTTAATCCGGTCAGCACTAAATGCAACAGCATCTTTGAGACCAGTCTTTTTACACTGTTGTGCCATATCACCAAATTAATGAAAAGTAACAAAAACAGAAAGAACAAGAACATAAAGTCAAGTTCCATCACAGGTTATACATACCTGAGAGACAAGTTCAAAGGCACCAGGGAAACCTATGCCAGAATTTGGTTTTGCATACTACGAATGATTGTCAGTTTATCAATAAAATTGTCAGTTCTGGGGTCAGTTACCATGACTAAAGGGAAGGTGCTTTGAGAGTAGATATTCGTAAATATATGAAATTACAATCACCTTTAAAAGATATATCTTTAAAAACCTCTTCTTTGCAGCCTCGGTATCAAATCCTTCAACCATGCTTAGCACAAGCAACACCACCTAAGAAGTTTGTTTCACCTGATATATTTCGAGGGTAAAGGAAAATGAAAAAAGGAGAAAAGGTCATTGAGAAAATATGGCAAAGGAACAGGGTGCTACACAATCAAAAATTCATTTCCTAAAGGATAGTAACATCATACTAATTTTCTTATCACTTGAAGTCAAAAAAAGACTAACTCAAGATCAAATATCTTAACCATGTATTTGGATCAAATGGCAATTAACATGATAATCATTCAAAAGAACAAGTTTCATAGAGGGGACCGGACTTTTCTTTTGTTTTACTTCTTTTCCATATTACATGTAGCTTAATCGAGTTTTTGGCTAAAAACATCCTTTAACTATACCCCAAACGTAAAGTACATCCTCGTAATATCATAGTGAACAAGGAACATCCTTCAACTATTGAAAATCTAACAAGTTTCACCCTTCTGTCAAGAACTGCTTGAAATCTAACAGAGCATTTTGAAACTCATGTGATACTACCATAGTTTCCTTATTTGAAACTAGGTTCTTTTTTTTTAATCACAGTCAATCTTCTTCCTCCTTAAGCTGGTTAACTGGTAGAATCAACATCGATCATCTCTAAATATCAGTACTTCGTCTTTCTGCTGACTCCATTGAGTGCTCACAGTGAAAGAGCAGAAACAAAATGAAAGATGGAAATAGGAGATTTTGTAAATATGTATTATAATGTGAATGAAACGAGAAATATGTTAGTAGCATTACCAGATGAAATATGCACAAGATGTAGTTGGATTGACATTTCTGACACTCGTATGATTTTATTTTTTTTGCCAAAGCATATACATATACATTAGCATAATAACAACAAGTTGTTAGTTCTTAACTAAATTTTGATTGCTACAAATAAAGAACCAAATTGAGAGGGAAAATATTTCATGTTTTTGTAGAATATGGACACTGTTACCTTCACTGGTTTTGGATCATTATCGGAAAAAAAAACTAACTATGCTTGCTATTGCCTTTAATTTACCTTCTTCTAATTAAGAGTAAAGACAGTCTGAACAACACATATACCGCGTATGAAAACAATCATTCTTCATGTTCTTGAGGGGTACTGGGTTTCAGTATCTGCACGTTTGTATGATTTGTCTTTGCATTATTGCATCACAGATTTAAAAATGACCGGGGAGGGTGGTTATGGAAAATGAAGCATACTTCAACAAATGAAAGTTAAAATTCATATTTCTGAGAAATGAGAGAATGTGAAGTGTTCAAATCTGAGGAGTTTTTAGTGAATTTCACCCACTCCGTTAGATTTTTAATGGTCTTTAACTAATGGATGAAATTTGTTAATGTTTAGATATTTGAAGGATGTTTTTTGTTAACTATGATATTACAAGGATGTGCTTTAAGTTTAGAGTATAGTTCAAGGATGTTTTTAGCCAAAAACTCTAGCTTAATCATTACTTCATCAAATTCATCAGCATGCCTTTAAACAGAAATCGTAAAAATATAATGAGGCCATCTGACAAATAGCATTGAACCATAAACATATAAATCAAGAAACTACTACTCAATCAAGAACTAGTGAGGGTTGGGCAATTATTTCCAAAAATATGAATCAAACACTTGGAAGAAAATCAAGAAAAATACGTACTATAAGCAGATTGACAAAGAAACCTTTCCCCCAAAAGTTCAAAGAAGGGAAATAATCAAGAAATTTCCAATAAAGAGAGTATTCAAGAAGAAGAATTTACCCACAAAGTCTTCAACGGTAACTTGAACACGCCCACAGCCGCTTTTCTTGATGATTTTGAAAGAACTCCAAGATTCTGAAGGCTTTTGAAAGAAATTGAAAGGATAATTTGGATGTTGAGTTGAAAAGTGTGGCGAGTTTGGGTTTTCCATGAGTACACGCAGGCAGTGTAGAGGTGTAAGCCACTTTTCTCTCTTGTTTTGGTTTTGGGGCCTTTGATTGGAGACGCTTCCATTATATACTTGTTAAGTTCCGTGTGATTGGACTATTATATCCTTTTATCCGCTTTGGAAATACGCGGATAATTAGAATTTATTTGTCTTAATTATGTGATGGGTTTCCTAAAATTAATATGAAAAAATGGGCATGAAATCACGTAAAAGTAAAGGTCGAGAATAAGAACGAAAAGAAATATAAATAATATTTTAAAAAATACTTTTAGAAAATATTTAAAATAAAAAATAATAAAATAAAAAATACATTAAAACAAAAAAATAATAGACATAAAAGGAAGAAATTAAAAAGTAATTACACCATGTAATTATCAACAATTCACAGTCTCTCCTATAACTTACACGGTAATTACATGGTCACCCAAAAAGGACAAACAATGTAATTACACTCAATTACACCAAATTCAATTACAGTATGACTTTCCAAACAGACCCAGTGTTTTACGAAAAAGTTTGAATTTTTTATAATGGATGAAAAAAATATATTATATTAATTTAAGGGAAAATAAATTTTGAAAACATCTTAGGATGAGGCAACTCTCGCTGCGGCTAACATTATACTACAATTGAGAAATTACTTTTTGGACATTAATCAAATATTTTTTAATATAATTGAGAATATTAATAAGTAGTAGTATTATATTCTACATTATTTTTTTTTGAATTTTCAATTATAAAATAGATCTAAACATCAATATTAGAGTGAACTGTCTGTTTTACAAAGTCATGGTAAATTTTTTTAAAATTCACACGTTTCTTTTTTTTTTTGGTTAGAAGACATTTTACAGTCGTCATAGACTACAAAGCAAACAATCTTATATTTCGTCTTAAAAAAGATTTTGCATCTTCTTTTTTACTAAAAAAAAAAACAATATTTTCTAAGCAGAGATTAATTCATCTGTTTTTATTTATTTGTCTTTAACCTAACTGAACACAAAGTTTAAAGTTACAGAAAAATGTAAATTTGTCAAACATCTGCATAATGTCTTAAATATGTCATATAGAATATTAAAATAAAGAGATGGGAAATTAACAAAAACTTATTTTTTAAAATATACTGAAGTACGTGTTTAGACATAAGATTTCAGATCATGATTCCAAAACAATGTTTGGATATGCAATTTGAGTTCATGATTTCAAATTGAAAAATAAGATTTGGAATTCCAAATTGGGATCTCATTTTTTTTAAAATCTAAAAAAAAAAAAAAACAGACACATGTTCGAACTATCAAACTCAACACTAATAAGGTGAAACACTGATCCCTACCAATATACATTACTTGTAGAGATGCAAAAGTGTATTGCTTTTACACAATCTGTGGAAACTTGCCATATCCAGAAGAGCACATGGACCCTTTTACAAAATTTGCAGGCAGCTTTTCATGTGCTTGCACACAAATGCTGCTTCTTGACACGCTAGTTTCCAAAGACTAGAAGCTATATACATCTTCAAAACATCATGCTAAGCTTGTAAGATACTTACAGATAAAGAAAGCTATACATATCTTCCAAAACCCACTAAGGTAGCAACTGAAATCGACTAGGCAAAAAATCCCCAATCCATCTGAAATATGGAGTTACTTGTCTTATTATTATTCGGAATTTGTACAGTGGACTCGATAAAGGCTGCATCAGGGATAATGTTGCTTCCAGTATCAGCTTGCGAAGTCACATGATCAATTACTGATGGTGCACCAAAATTGATCATACTCGGGGCCAAACCACTGTGCAAGTTTGGATTTGTTTTAGTTTCCTTCTTCTTATGCTGTTCATAAGCAGCCATTTCTCGGATATATCTTTCCTTATCCAGCTTACTTGCTTCAATATAAGGCTGCAAAAGTTAGAAGGAAACGATGGACAAGGCAAAAAGTTTTACTTCCCACTTGTTACATGGAGCAATGTTAAACATAAGAAGGAAACATGAATGCTAAATTGATACATAAGAGTACATAAATGGCCAAAATTATGAATAAGAAATTTAGAAGGCATATCATTTAAAATCTGCTAGCAACTATATGATAAGTACTTCATCATACCTCTTTGTCATTTTCAGACAGAGTCTTCCAGGCATTAATGGCCATATCTCTGATTTTCTTAGAACCATAACTCTCCCCAAGTACTTTCTTTTGTCTTTCACATTCCAACTTGACATACATCTGATATGAACTCCTTCCTCTTATTGGAGCACCGGGGTCTTTCCTCAGATATCTGTTGGTTGACGAACTCTGAGATTTTTGCTCTGGTGTCTCTGGCCCTACTGAAGGAAAAAAAATTATGATCAATTTGAGTCCTGACCTAAGAAAATATGATGGCGCCTGAGGTAACAAACTCAAATTTGAGGTTTAGTTGGACAGGCTAGTAACTTTAAGACACTGCAAGGACTAGTATCAATTCATGACTCCTCAAAGTAATTGCATGAAGAGAAACTTAGATCCAAACAAATAGCACACATCTGAATGGAACATGCCAGGATAGATACACACCTTGGAAGGTTATTGATGACTTCTATATGGAAGCAAATAAAATCTTCTACTCTGTATTTTTCTTTTTTTATGAAAGAGGTAAAAAAACATCTATTATGTATTGCTGCAAAGATTAATCTTGATGCCATGTGTGCCTCATTTATCTCCTGTTCTGTTTTCTTTTTGGCTAAAACATGTATTCATCCAAGGGAAAATCATACATGTAATAAACACCAAAATAGAACGAATCTTTGGCATTTAAATCATATGCAACCGAAGAGAAGATCAAGAGTGATACAGGAGTAGTTCAAGTAAGCTTTTGAGGTGTGACTTTGTTGCAGGAAGTGTTTTTGTATAACAAGTCACTCCCACTTTCCTTTTTTTTGTCTAGACAAGCCTGGTAATATATATTCTAAACATTGCATTATTAAAAATCTACCAATTCCTTTTCACAGTTAAGACCACAAAAATAGCAATTCCATAATGTTAACTCTCTACAACTGTACCAACTTAGGCCCATCCTCAGCTTTATAGGACATAAAGCATGAGTGTGTCCATTGATGGTCTAAACTTACTTGAAAAGTGACATTCCGATGAGAAGTTCAGAAGCTTAAAGATTTGTAAGTCTCTGAGATAATTAAGAATAACAAACCTGTCGAAACTTGGCGACTATCATTCTTGCGCTTCCTTTTTTCTACTGGACAGTCCCTATCATTATGGTGCAAACTTGCCACGGGAGATGACCGACCACAAAATTTCCTCTTCCCTGCGGAGTCATCTGACCTATCTGCAGAACCTAAAGAAAGACTATAATCTTCAAACAGAGAGAATTGATGGAAAACCAGTCACACACAAACTAGGTGATTGAAAAATAGACCTCCAAACTTTCAACAAGAAAGTTACCTTTTACTGGTGCTAGCCTAACAGCATCAGAAACTTGACTAGGTGGTTGCATGGTTCCTTTTTCTCTACTTCGATAGTAATACAGTTGCTCAAGTTGGAGAAGGAGATTTTCGTACACCTTCTGAAGTTGAGTTGGGAACATTGTGATATTGCTTTTCACATGCAATGTACATGCAACTTCACCCCACATAGCATCCTTAGTGACCTAAATATTGCAAATCAAGAACTCAGATAGTGGGGAAGTCATATGCATATCCAAATTCAGTGCTAGTAGGGGATTCATTTCATTTACATCATTTTAGAAACTCTTATGATCGGAGACTTAAATTAATAGCAGAACCATGTTAATTCCTCATTATTTTTCACCATACCTCGCAGATACACACTTTTTTGCTGATTGGAAGATGATACAGTGGAAAAATTATGTTATTGAAGAAAAGATCCTTCTAAAAATGACAAACAAGGAGAACAAGTTTTCGGTACTCATTTTAGTAGTTTCAATGAGAAAAATTATGTTATTGAAGAAAAGATCCTTCTAAAAATTATGTTTAGATCCTTCAGCTTCTCATAAGCAGCAACTAGTTATCAGATATGAAAACCTAAGGCATAGAGCAATTAGATATCAGAAACACAGAGAATCTTAAATGACTATTTTAGTTAAGGTTGAATCTAAAGTGACTATTGACTACAGCATATTTGTTCCATCTGCATACTCTTTGTGTACACTCTGCCGTGCAGTTCAGAGAACTATAGTCATCAAAGCAGTTTGTGAATGATTTCACTCATTCTTCAGCATATTCCTGGTTATTTTGTTATATGCACACAAAACTTGGAGGTTATTTTCAGAAGACATTACACAAGAAATACACCGAATTGGCTAATGATCATAACCCCTCATATACATTTTTTTTTTTGAGGGGGTTATGATCCAATTTCCAAAAAAAAATCTAATTTGCCTGTTTTTTTCTTTTCTCGTTGTCTTTTTCAAACAGTGGAAACATTCCTAATGCTTCAGAAGAAAGAAACATCAATTCACTTAACCAGATTATGTGAGGAAAATGACATGTTGTTGGCAATGAGTACAGAAATAAGAAATCTGAATCTTTGAGCCATGGTGGGAAAAATTTTTACCTGATTAAATCCACCTCTTTTAATGACTTCTTCATAGAAAAGATGCAAGTCCAGGTTTGCTTGTCTTAAGTTAAAGCTGCATATATAGAAAAATAACCTTCCTTAAATCAGAAATTTCATCTCTCAACCAACTTTCAAGTTTCAATATGCAAGCTTATAAGCCACCAAAATTAATACGTAACATAGTAATTGCAAATTACACCAACCTTCGAGATCAAAAGTCAAAAATCTCTATCTATCTAATGCTTGGGTCCTTGGGATTACCTAAAAGCAACTTGGTCGAACTTCGAGAAATTTATACTTCTCTCTCAAAAGCATTCATATTCTACCGTGGATAATGCAAGTGGCAAACAAAGCTCGCTAGTAGCTATAGCTAGTCATGAGCATTAAGCATGAATTTGAAAATGAACAGACTCTCGACCTCTGAGAGAGGTAGGGTAAGCTCGGCGTTCACACTTCACTCTACCTCCGCAGATCCACTTTGTGGAAAGGTGGGAATGGGACTACAGTGGGTATGTTGTTGATGATGGATTTGAAAACGTATATAATGATAAAGTCATTATTTAGACATACATTTTTAGGAGAAAATGTACTCACACTAGACTGAGCCCAGAGGACTCGTTCAACTTGTTAAGCTTTTCATAGAAGCTATCCTTCCCATCATAGTAACTCCCGCCGGCCAAATTCTGCATTGTGGAGATATCACCGGCAACAATAGGCGACGAGAAGCCGCATGCATAAGTTCCGGCACCGGAAAACTTGTCGCCGCCGTGGATTTTCTTCTCCATTGTGACGGTATTGTTCTCCTCTGCTGCCATGCTGAAACTGCACCTCTCTCTTCTCCCTCTAATTTCCAATTTGACTCTGTTTTTTATGGGGTTCATCACACATCGTCCACGTATGTGACCCCACTTTTAGAGAACTTGGTCTGACGTGGAAACATTGTGGGGCCGGAGGCGTACATGTGTCATACATGCAAAATCAAGAAGACATGGATTCATGCAAATCTCAGCCGTTGCTAATTCCACCTGTCTCGTAGGTATATTTTTGTGATTTTTTAGTTTTAAATTTCTTTTTTCTCCCTCCGATATTTGGTACCCACAATGTATGAGTAAATTTAGATTCACATGGAAAAATTTCAGTAACGTGCTTCTCCTAATAAAGATGATTTCATATTTAAGAAAATTCGAATTCTCACCAAGGGGTGTGCATCGATCAATTTGATTTGGTTTTATGTATTATCAGTTTGGTTAATCGATTTTCAATTTTTAAATATATAAATCAATTACCAAATCAATAAGATATTTTTTTTATCAAATTTTGATTTATCAATTTTAATCCTTAATGATTTGGTTTTCTATTTAATCAATAGAAAAATATTTAAAAACAAATATATGACGTCTCTAATAAATTTGATGAAACACAATATGTAACTTTGCAAATGCTTGTAAAATAGAAACAATAATAACAAACATAATAAGAACTATACAAGTGTAACACAAAGATAAATTAAGAGGAATAGGGTTCTTACTATAGATTTTGACGTTTTGTATAATATGAAGTTTTGAACTTAAAGTCACTATGAAATGTGAACTAAAGGCCGGAGTACAAAGACAGTACTAGCAAGGTATTAAAATTAATATTTAATATTTATGTACAAGTAAAAGTCGTTAATTACTAATCTTAATGGGTTATCGGTTTACCTAATAACTCAATATTAAAAACTAATATTAAACCGATAACCCGATAATTTTTTTATTAAACTATTAAAAAGCGTTAACTTAACTTAATAACCCAATAACAATAAATCAATAACGCCTTTTCAGTTCGATTTATTAGTCGGTTCAATTTTGCACACCTCTAACTCTCCCATTGAAAAATACTTCTTAACAAAAGCGACTTTGTATCCAAAGAAACTCGAATCTAATACCTTTAATTAAGAATGAATCAGTATTCTGTTGCATGAAAGACTTTTATTTGCATAAATGTCAATAAAGGAAGAACATAATTACAACCAGATAGTGTTTGAATTGACTTAAAAGTTGATTAAATCTACTTTTAAGAAGTAGTTTTTAACTTCTGAAAATATTTGACGAATATAAAAATAACTCAAAATAAGTCAAATAAATTACTCATAATAAGTTAGAAAGTGTTTGTAACACAAAAAATAACTTAAAATAAATTAAAAATTAAAAATAGGTCTATCCCTATTTTTTATTTTCCGACTTAAAAGTAATTTAAGTTTAACTTTTTATTTTTGATTTAAAAACTATTTTTTAAAATCAATCTAAATAGGCTGAAAAACATGATGAGGAAAAGTTCAATATGTGTACTTCATATTAAGAGGATAAAAGTACTTTATTCACTATTTATGATTTTTATTGTTACCTTTTATTTATTTTATGCCTTCTTTTTTTCATTCTTTCAATGGATTTTGCCCTGTGTGCATGATTGATCGTAGTTTTTTAAAATTCAAATTTAATAATAGATAATTATGTATGTGGTTTTTATTCTTTTTGAGAAATTATCATATTAAAAATATGAAATGATTTAATTAGAATAGGGAAAATAATAATAATAATAATAATAATAATAATAATAATAATAATAATAATAATAATAATACAACTCTTATTGTTTTTACTTTTTTTTTATTCTCTAACTATTAAACAATTACTCATAAAAATAATATTTTTCAAAAAATAATAAAAACATAGAACACTTTTAAGACATACTCCCTCTGTTCCTAATTACTTGTCCATTTTTTCCTTTTTAGTTCTCCCAAATTACTTGTCCATTTTGACAAATCAAGAAAGAATAGTTTCTTTTTACCTATTATACCCTTAATTACTTTGAAAAAAGTAGAATTTCTCGAAAATCTTAAATTTTTAATTCATCTACTTCACAATTAATAGAGATAAAATGGTAAACTCACTATGTCAATAATTGATTTCTTGATAGGTGTGTCAATTCAAAAGTAAATAAGTAATTAGGGACAAAAGGAATAGTAAATATATTTCTTTCTCTTTCAAACCGTCTTAGTGAGAACAATTTGATTCATGTTAAAAAGGGTCAAGTGTATGAATTGAGGACGAACAAAAAGGAAAATCACGATGGTTTGATTAACATTTAATTATAGAATTTGGAATACTTGAACTCAAATATCGAATACCAAATAAAAAATACTTAAATATCATATATCAAATTTTTTAAAAACTATAAACCTTTTACTTTTAGATGTTATTTTATTTTTCAACTAGGAAAACTATTTGTGCTTCGCACGCGATTGAACTATTTTATTAACCTTACATATGATCATTCGGTAATATTCGTAATTTTGATACATACATTACATTGTAAAGAACATTTTATCTTAAGGCAAAACATTTCTCTGAAATCTTAAAATGCTATATTTTCTTAATTTTCATTTTTGTTATACAAAAATTATGAGTCATAGAGAGATTTAAGTATAAGAAAATCTCCATGGAAATAGTTGGTCAGATTAACAATTTTTTCTAAATTCAAGAAGTTATAAAGAATAACAACAGACGTTAAAGTAGAGACCAAAAAACCTCGAACAACAACACTCCCAAGTAAAGTGGAACATCACGTTCATATAAGAACATAATTAACTAAATTCAAATGGAGGGCCTTCGGCTCCTTCTTATGAACCTCCATCAATCTCTTTTTTATTATAGTACGTCGTATCATGTATGTGTTAAAAATGACCCTAAAATTGTTAGTACCATAAAGGTTTTTCCTCATTGTCTCAGAATAGTCATTGCTATTGCTTAGGTTTCATATTACCGTCCCCAACTTATTTGAAATTGAACCATAGTTATTATTATGGTTATAGTATGCAGTTACAGAGAATTAATGCAATGATCAACCAAGAAGTAGGTGTCATCTCAATAGAATTGTTCACAACTGGATATTATAAACCAAATGTAATGAATTCAACCATTTCAACAGTGTTATGAGTTGTGGACTAAGAGGTGCAAGAGTAGTAATGTTGCATTGCAATTGAAATCACTTTTTTTTGTTTATTCTTTCTTCTTTTGGTGCCTTGGAATTAAGTGTTGAATTTTAGAAGGTGTGATGAAAAATAAAGAGTTGTGACTTTTGTGAAAAATTGTAACTTTTATGAAGAATTCTGACTTTTTTAAAGAGTTGTGAGTTGTGACTTTTGTGAAAAATTGTGAATTTTGTGACTTTTATGAAGATAACTAACTTTTCTAAAGAGTTGTGACTTTTAAGAAGGGTTAAATAAGAATTATGATCTGTGAGGACGGCACATAAACGGGTTGGCTGTTGTAAACAAACGTAACGTTTATGAAGAGTGGTAAAACAATGAACGGAAGAAGCGGTTGTTGAAGGCTGAAGCGACGTTCCTATTGCGAGGGAAAGGGCAGTTTTGGACATAAATAAATAAAAAGAAAATCCTTGCTACTGGTGGTGCCACGTCACCGAATTGACGGTTCTCTTTATAGAAATATATATATATATATAGTCTTATAATTCCTCCCCCTCCCATGCGTCAAATAAGTAGAATAGTAGGGGAAATTCACACATTCATCCGCAGTTTAGGGACCAATTGAACAATTTTTGTAAGAAACAAATACTAGCGCAATCGTCCAATAATAGTTATCCGCTCCTTATTTTGAAATATTTAACTATACTTGTTCACTTTATAAAATTAATAAACAATTTTATATTTAATTTATAATTTACCTTTGTCATTAATTATAATCATTTTTATTATATTTTTCAAAACATATTTATTATATTCGAGGAAGGATTACCTTCTATTTATAATTATTATATGGAGTACATAAGTATATACTATAATTTATTAAGAAAGATAAGTATGGTTGGACAATGTACTAGCCAGCAGTTTCCAAAAGTTTTCATCGAGTGGCACACAGCATTGGAGAAAAAGATAAACACGTCAGCAGCAAATTTTCTGGCCTCAAGGCAATCCATTTGTGTCGAACAAAAGGCAATCCATTTGTGATTAATCCGCCGTCCCTCTATTTCTCTTGAAATTTCCACAAATTCACTGACCACACATCTCTCCAATCGAATGACCCAAATCCAAACCCTAGGATCTCGCCGGAGCTGAAGACTGCATGAGTAGTCACCGAGAAGAAATAGAGTGCTTCAAAGCAGTGAAGCAGTTCAATAAACAATGGTGGTTGTTGTTTCTCACGCTCAGCCTTGGTCCGCCTTCCTTACTCTCCGTCAAGCTCCTCTTACCTCCTCGTCTTCTTTTAGAATACGACCGTTAACTCCTCGCTTTCGACCGTTAACTCCTCGCTTTACCACTCAAAGGTGCTATGTTTTTCCTTGTAAACTGACATTGTGAATGAATGATTTGGTACTGTGTTATGATGATCTGACTGGTTCAATGCATTAGATGAGATCCTGATTGAGTGGATTTATGCATACATTAGTGTCATTATGATCTAATTTCATGTGGATTGTGAGTAGTGATGTTGGTTCTTCTATTGTGTGGTCAGGTAATTTTACCAGTAAAGGAAGCAAGATCACCTATAACAACTTACAATTACATATTTTGCTATCATCATGCAACAAATATAATATGTCATGATAAAGAACACTAAGATACTACATTACCCTGTTTATAACAATATTAAAATATTCATTACTATATTTATATGAATCGCGTCCAAAAAGAATGAATGAAATTGGACTTTGTCAGTACCTATCGAGTAAGGCTGAGGTATATAGCGAAGTTGTCACGTCTAGAGCTGTAGGAGCAGTTCAAACTTGGTATCCCATATTATAGGATGAATGTAAGTCTCATTGACTAAGTCTCATTGACATTCAGTCTTATTATCATTTGTGAGGGTGTCGTGATGGTTCAATTGGTGCTAAGGGTGAGTTGTTTAATGCAGTTTGAGTGACTTCTTTATCATTGGATTACAGATGAAGTTAAAGCTTTTAAAACTGTTTGGTGCATTTTGGCTTCAGTGCAGTTGAATTGTATCTCTCTCAAGAGGAGTATGCTTTCGACATTATTGCTGGATGAACTAGTGACTGGCTTCTCTACTATATATAGTTACAGCCTTACAGGATTGAGCAGAATATCTTCATATCATATCATTTTCATAAGTTGGTCTCTTGTTTCTAATCGGAAAACATAACTTGCTTTCCGATCCTACTTGTTTGCAATTTGTATGGTCCAAAGGAAGAGGCTTAACTCGTGTGTAATAATTTTTGTTGTGTGTCACATGCATGCATACAATACATACATGTACACTCACACATATGTGGGTGCATGTGTTCCCCAACTATCTTGCAGTTGAAGCATAGTTACTGTTGTTGCACACACTCATATGTTACAGAAGTGAAGCAAGCAGTGGTCTCAACTCTTGGTGTTATTCAGCAAGTGATGAAGTATTATCACTAGAATAAATATTGCATGTTTTCTGACAGGTAGCCTGTAGTTGGCAATAATGATGTTCAGTTGGTTTTACTAACTCCGAATCTGCTTATGTAGTACTGCAGTCTGCAGAAAATAGCAATGTGATGTGAGAGTAGTTCATTGTAATCTTTATCCAAAAGAATCATGGATTGTCATTGCAATTTAACCGTGTTCCTTTCAATGCAGGCTTGGAAGTCTTAACACTAGATGCTCCATAAATACCGACGTCTTAACTGACATTGCAACTGATCAAGAGGTTCGGGATGATGTTGCAACTGATGATTGTGGCAGTACAATACCTGTTCTTCATCTCAAATCTGATATTCTGGAAACTGAAGCACTAAATCTGCTAGCCAAGGGCACATTTGTGGATACTATCTTGACAACATTGCCAGTAGGATTTTTTATGAATAATTCTGCTCAATCATTTCTATTGCCCCTGCTCCCGTCTAACTATCGCTACTGCACTTTTGATTTTTCTATTGTTGATGTTGAACAGGTCTTATCAGAGGAGGAGCAGAATATTATTGCTGCAACTCCTGCTCATCCAGCAGGGTTATACGGTTAGTCTTTCCCCTTAAGTTGAGTGGTAGTGTAGTGGCAGAAGCTTAACTCATGTCTGAAAGTGCATGAGTTGCTGTCTGCTATATTCTAAAATGATGATATATACTGAACCTCAACCTAGTTTGGAATTTACAAAAGGATACTTCTGTGAAATGCCAATACCTTGAGTATCTATAGAGGTCCTTTGAAAAATTGGACAATATGAGGTTTGGACATAAATATATACTCCCTCTGTCCCAATTTATTTGCACTTTTCGTTTTTCGAGAGTCAAACAGTTTAAGTTTGACCGGCAATTTACGCATGGAATCTTCAATTTTTTAGAAATGAAATTTATATATTTATAAACTACGTAAAAAGTACTATATAAGTCACAATAATTAACAATTCAAAATATTTAAAAGATGTATGAAAATTTACGGTCAAAGATAGACTTGATTAATCTCGTAATCCGAAAAGTGTCATATAAATTGGGACGGAGGGAGTAATATTTTATTTTTTTTCAGAATTGATACTTTAAATGGACTATTTGGAGAAACAAAGCAATGTCATTGTACAAGCTGAAGATTTGAGAACTCCAACTTAAATCTTTTATCTTCAGTAACAGAATATCACTGGACTATTTTCCTTGTCATTTTTTCTATAGATGATAGAGCTGACTGTGCTATACTTTTGCTTCTGAGTCATTGTACTCAGCTCTGTTTTCTGCATCTTCTTGATGCTTTTAATGATATCCTTTTACTTCATCAAAAAAACAGAATATCTAATGTAGACTATGAAAAACGTACTTAAAAAATTAACTAGGCTTCAGGCCACCATGCTTGATTGGATTGTTCACTGAATTCTTTCTGTTAGGGTGAAGACCCCCACTCCCTTCCCCTGGCAGGTCAGGGAAGTTTGTTTGATGAGTAGTTTGACTTTGAAAACATGACCAGTTAATCATTTGTTGCATTATGTCTGTAATTCATCATTTTATAGATTTCTGATGTCAAGTGCATTCAAACAGCTTTATATGCTAGTTGCCTGGCTGGGTATATGGTGGAACAACTTTGGAATTTTGCCTCACCTGCTGCCATTGCGTTGATTCATCCTAGTCTTCTTCCTGTAGCACTAATGGGTTTCCTTGCTAAGGTATTCATTAGTAAGTGATACAAAAGAATAAAGGCTAGAAGATAATTATCTGCCTTACTGTTTTTGTACAGGAGGTTCCCAGATTAAGTACCTGCAAGCACCATCGTAGTGCTGAGTTGCTTATACTGAGTTGCTTATACCAATAAAATACTAATTTTCCAGTTCAATTCTTTTTTCCTTACATCCCGCTTTACTTGTACAGCTCGCTGTAATTGGTGGAGGTCCTCTGGTTGGCAAACTTATGGATCACTTTCCTCGGGTTCCTGCATATAATTGTCTATCTATAGTCCAGGTATTCTTTTCTGTATGTGTTACTAAGGAGAGGTGTAGGCAACAAAAATTCCTTGAAGTTCTCTAATACTTCTATTCTGTCAGACAGCTGCCCAGTTGATGTCTGTTGGAATGATTATACATGGTCATACTCTTCATCCAACGTCTGCATCATCTTTACTTTTCCGTCCTTGGTTTATTGTGCTTGTTCTAGTGGGAGCCGTTGAGAGGCTATCTGGGTTGGCATTGGGGGTTGCAGTGGAGCGTGATTGGGTTGTTTTGGTATTGCTGATTGAACTTTGTTTTGTCCTTTATGTTTCACTTTTTGACTCCTTATCTGTTGAGCAATTTTCTAATTTAGTCTTGTTTATACAGTTAGCTGGAACCAATCGCCCAGTTGCACTTGCTCAAGCAAATGCTGTTCTAAGCCGTATTAACCTTTTATGCGAGGTAATAACCACGTCAATTGGAGGCTTTTCTTCTGCCTTCTTTTGTAGCATGACGGATATTAGTGATCAGAACTAGTATATTAAAAAAATATCAATATTTTGTTTCTGTATAGTTCAGTTTATCAAATATACTTTACTTGGATTTTGTAGTGATAATCATTTAAGTTAACAAAGTTAAGTCTTATCATTTACCTTATAATTCTCCTTTTTGTGGAATACTGTAGATTGTTGGAGCAGCATTATTTGGCATTCTTCTCTCTAAATATGAACTGGTGGTATGCTTAAAAATTGCTGCTGGTTTGATGATGGGGGCACTTCCTATTGTGGTAAATCTTACTTCTGGTTCTATTTCATTCTGTGATTTGAAGTTTAAAGCACTGCATAGCACTCAGATCTGATCACGTGTTTACTAGGTATCTCTGACATGGCTAACCAACAAGCTTTCCTCTGGTGTTCTTGACCGTGCTGTGGAAACTTGTTTAAGTTGTTCCTTCCCGTCTTCACTAAAATCAGAAAATATAGGTATCTTCTCTTGTGTTCAGTTTTGTTGAAGGTGGAAATAGATTTTACTTTTATACTAAGCCCGTTGTTTGTTTTCAGTGGGAGTGGGTCTGGAAGCTATAAAGCATGGATGGTTTGAATATATTAGACAACCCGTTCTTCCAGCAAGCATAGCTTATGTGCTATTATATTTCAATGTCGTTCTTGCACCTGGTGGTTTAATGACAGCATTTTTAACACAGCAAGGTAATTTCCGGATTCTAGTCTCGTGATATTTTCACCTTCAGATTTCTGGCTGCTGTGACATACTGGATGTTGATAAGGTAGCTACACTTAATAAACCTACCAATGGCTATAATGATAGCTTTTTTGATGTCTCTAATCACAATTGCATTGGCTATGATGAGGTAAGGATTGTCCAAGCTCATATAAGGAGACAAATAATTCCATCCACACAGTTGTGCGGACTCTTAACACATCTTATCACTTAGCAATAAACTAGTATCATAAATTCATAAGCGGTTTCTCTTACCCTCATAATGCACCGGAATACTTCTATATTGGCCTGATTTTGCAAGTGTAGGAGACTGTTTCTCTGTGTATGGTGCCTTGTGCAGTTTCACGCAGTGGACTGGTGTTTTCACTTGGTTTACTTACACATACCACCTATTTGGTTGTTTCTTTCTGGATATTTTTCTTGTGAAATTATGAGTGCGTCAAAGAATGTGGTGGTCTTTTAGGTGTAAATTATGTGCTAACAGCTTTTAAACTCAAACAGTTTGTAACTCTGACAGGCACATATCCTGTAAACAATCCACTCCATCTTAAAATGTTTGCAACTAATTGACCATTCTTTGTAACTTACAGTAACTTGCAAGGGTTTATACTGCATAACTCCTGTATGACCTATATGCTTTCTGTAGTTGTGTAGTTAATAGCTCGGAGGAGAACTACACTTCCTGCAAAAGCTTTCAAATGTAGAATCAGGAGCTCATCAATGCTTAAAAGAGCCTGAAATTGAAAGTAGTCACCACTTTATCTCAAATGTTTCACCACTCTAACAATTTCAGGTTTAAATCCATCTATTATTGGGGGCTTCAGCGGATTATGTGCTTTTGTAGGCGTTGCAGCCACATTTGTGTCTGCAAAGATGGTCAAGCACCTTGGCATCTTAAAGGTTGGCTCTACTTTGTATATTATATCTTGTTCTTGTCAGAAATAATATCCTCTTATCATTCACAGTCTGGGCCTAACTCTCATGAATTTTCAATATCAGGCTGGAGCCGCTGGCCTAGTACTCCATGCTTCGCTTCTGACCACGGCTGTTGCTGTTTATTGGAGTGGATGTCTTTCTCAGCAGACTCCCATTTTCTTTTTCTTGGCTTTAGTTGTAAGTTCACTGCTCTTACCTTTATTGCTTTCAATGAGAATTTTGTGGCGAACCATGTCTTTTTTATTTATTTAAAACTTTTGTCTCCATTGATCATTGATGTGCACAAAGTTACAATTTGAGTTTGGCATACCAATCTTTGTACTTGATCATTGAGTTGACACTTCTATTGTTAGCCTAACAGAAATAAACAGAGATTATACATAGCATTTAGGGGGGAGGGGGTATCTATATGGTGTGAGGTGGTTTGGCTTTCAACAGATTGCTTCGTGATAGTTTCATTGGCATGTTCTGCTACTTTTATCATTTAATAACAGTAAAAATGTTATGAAAATGGTCAATTTTCATGAAGGCTCATATTGACCCTTTCCACAGGTGTTGTCAAGACTGGGACACATGTCCTATGATGTCATCGGGCAACAGATTCTACAAACTGGAATTCCTGCATCTAAAGCCAATCTTATCGGAACAACCGAGGTTTCTGTTGCGAGTTTAGCAGAATCAATAATGTTAGGAGTTGCAATAGTTGTAAATGATGTCTCACATTTTGGATTTCTAGCGACGCTTTCCCTTGTATCCGTAGTTGGGGCAGCATGTCTATACTGTAGATGGTTGGAAAATCCGACAGATACACAAAGAACTCTTTTCTCTTTTAGCCCTCATTTATGAAATGCCAAAAGTACATATGTAGCATGGTGTTAGTCATCACATTGAAAGCTACATCAACAACATACCCCATTACAATCCCCCAATGAAGTCGTAGGAGGGTGGGTTGTACACAGACCTTACCCCTATCTTTGTGAGGTAGCACATTGAAAGTTGTACATTACAATAGAAATGTATCCAGGCCTTCTGTAAATTAGTTATTATATCAACTAACATCAATGCGGAATTTTATATAAAAGTTGAGTACTGTAGGATCCGTCAAGTTTCTGTATGGATTTGTCAAGTGTTTGGGCATCTGTGAGATAGAAGCTTTAATCTCTATAATGGGACTATTTTATGCTGCAGAATTTTTTCTTACCTTGTCTGGCCATCCGTAAGGCCAGTTATTTCTGTTGTGGATGTTACATCCTTGTATACCTCTCAATTTTCTCATGTGCATGTTCACTGATGCCAAAAAATATACTATATTTCTCTGCCTGATTTACCCAGTTTGTGTGATTCCGTGCTATTGTATAGTGAATACTGAATAGCATGTCATGTTCTGCCATTTAGGTGAGAATTGTAAAACTAATTATGCCCAAGATATCAAAACAGCTGTACATATATTCAGGTCATATGTGAAATAGTCATTTATCTAAAGCATAACTAGTACATCTGCTCTATGTCATTGATGTCATTTATGAAGTATGGCAGCATAAAGATGAACATTGAACATGTACAAGCACTTCTTTTTCTGTCCTCTTCATGTGCATTATATATCTTGTACCATATTTGCAATTTAACTAGATGATTTTATTGTTCTTTTGTACCCACGCGAGTCAGTATCAATGGTCCAGTAAGGACATACTAAACAGAATTTTGAATTGGTTTTCAAATTGTTATAAGTAAATGTTTGTAGTTGTATTTGATTGGCGCTTTAAATCTAATCTCACAAAAACGTGAAAGTGTTTTTGAGCCATCTATATTAGCTAAACCATCAACTCATCTGTCTGTTGAATAGTGTGACATTTAGATCAGACCAGGGTCTTTAATTGTTGTCTGGCAAAGTCTAGTACATGACAGCTAGTAAAATAAAAAAAATTAATTTAAACTTCTATCATAATTCAATTCAAAAAAATTAAGCTGGCACTGAGGTACTATGGCTATGGTGGACCATTGTTGTAGTAATCAAATAATGGGATAGAAACTTCTCGACATTAATCTTAACATATATATAAAGTTGTTAAAAACTAGTTGAACCTTTTTTTTTAGTAGTACTTTGTTTGGGTTTCATATTTGAAAACGAGGCTACTTCGAATGTTGCAAAAAGTGCATAAAACAATGTGTGCCTAAGTTATACATTGATAGTAGCAAATAAGAAAGAAGAAGAGGAGCTTTGGTTGTTGGGTCACGAGTGAGTTTAGGGTAAAGGGTCAACTGCACGTACCCGTTACGCTGTTTCTGCACAAAGATTCCAATTACTAAAAAATTCTCTCTGTTGTCTACTTTAGACTTTGTACACACCTCACAACGAAGAATGATTAATATGAGTATTTTATCATACTATTTATATTAGTTGATGTGTAGCGTTAAATCTTAGAAATGCTTTGGAGTATACGTGATTAATATTGAGAGTAAAGAAAAAAAAAACTATTTTTTGAAATATTGAACTGTGGTCTTTTACTACTACATATGAGTACTACATTTCCACAAACCCCAATAACAATTAACGCAAAAGTACATATATATTATATTCTGTTAATATATCGGACAATGTTTTGGTATCTTCATGTCGAGGAGTTGCATTATATTCCAAATTTATCGCTTCAAAGTATAGTGAGAATCAAAGACTAGTCGATATTAGTGAACTGTAAATCATAACGATTAATTAACATATTTCTTTTTTTTTTTTAATTTCAAATTCATGATCATTTATTTTATATATCCAATAATTCAAAGTATGAGTTTTGTTTCTTATATATCGAAGTATTCTTTAATCTTATAGTCTTAAACATGTTATATTGAAAATTATAAGTAAAAAGGTTGTCAAAAAAAGAAAAAGAGATTTTTTTTTTCTTGAAAAAATTGTAACGGAGAAAGTAACTAAACATTTTCATTCAATAGTTATTTCAAGTCCATTAACTATCTCTACTTGTGCAGTATAATTATATATTTGAAGCATTCACAATAGGGTAGCTCAAGGCTTGAGACACAATATTTTAAATTCGACAAATTTTTAATAATTCTTTCCTTTTAAATGAAAATTTGCTGGAAATAGAAGTTTCTGTATTGATTTTTTTCCTTCTTTAATATTTTAAAAGTTGATTATCTTTGTTAGTTCTTACTAATAAAGAAAACAAAATTGTCAAACAAATACAGTAGAGAAACTTTTATGGACCAACAAGAAAAAAATTTAGAAATATAGTATATAGTCAAAGAAAAGATGGAAGATTAATGAAGATAAAAAGGAAAATAAGATGTGTAATGTAAGTGTAAAGCGATGCATAAATACTATAGCACACATCCAATCTATCATAAATGGTTTCCCTTGATACGATTGATGTCTTTCACTTTTCTTTTCCTTTTCTATCTATCCATCTGTCAACTTATTAAATATTTTTATTTTAAAAATAATATATATTCCAATTCACATTCACAAAAGAAAAAGAATGGAAAAGAAATTAGTTGTTGGACAGTGGTAGAATTGTTTTATTCTTAATTTAAGGTTTCAAGTTTGAACCGTGGATATGCGGAAAAAATTCAATTAGAAACGCCACCCCAAAATAAGTTCTATCGTGCATAATTTGAATTTAATCGAGACTCTAATGTGGACTCTGAAGATCGAATAAAAAAAAGAAAGGAAAAGTCAGTGAATCACGTGAATCAATGCACTATCATCATCCATTTATATACCAAATATGAATTTAATATCTATATGAATCAAACTTAAACAGTAGTTTCTTTAATTGATACTATCGTATATTTAATCTGTTATGTTGTAATAGTAGCTAGGTTACCTATCTTATTTATTCCATCTTTAATGAACAAATGGAGTAATATTTTTCTGTTTTTTAGATGGTTATAAATGTATGGTTATTAATGTAGACTATCTTTTGCTTTGAACAACTCTTTTTTTGGTATATGAATAAAAGTTGAACCCTATGCACACTCGAGTATCTTAGTAATCAACAAAATTATTAAGTTAGTACTCTAACCTTAATAAGAAATTTCTAATTTGAATTTGTGAAAATGATTTTTTATTATTAATTAAAAACACTAGCCCCAAAAATGAACCCTACCTTACGCAAATCTAAATTCTATAGGATTTTAATACAAATATGGACTAACACTAATTAGCGAGAAAAAAAATAGAGTACCATGAATTCTCAGCTTCAAAATCCATCGAGGTAAAATAATAAAAAATAAAAATTCCAGGCACAACATTATCCAGCTGTATCGTGTTGATAACATTAACAAATATATTCAGTTTATTTCATAAGTAAAATTTCGAAAATGATGGGCAAATAAACGGTACGCCTAATAAATATATCAAATAAAATTAATCGAGGTATACATAAATCAACTCATAGATATACTTACACTTGTATGTAAAGTTATATATATATAATCGCCCGTGTTTGTCGCGTGCACTGCAGAAACATCTTTTGGTGTGTGTGTGTCTGACCATAAAACAATGCACTACTACTAATATAGTGCAGAGTTTAGGGTTTTCTTGTCAGTAGTCAACAAACTTGAGTTCATTACTTTATTGTTTTTAATAATATATCAAAAAAATTAAATTTTATTTTCAACAATAATTACTTATTTGATTATTTCCTGAATTATTTTTCCTCAATTAATATGAATTTGAAATAAAAGTAAATGAAATAAGTGAGTACAATATTCAGAAGTGAATCTAAAATTTCGAATAGTGTAGTATGAAAAAGTAGGTTTATTTGAACCCAAAATTATAAACCTAAACCCACTAAAATTGCTTAGGGGATCTCCAATCCTACACTCTACTTTACTCTCCAAATATAATTTTTTTTATTTTTTTCGACAATCAACTCCAACTCAATTCTTTATTTTACTCTCTAAAATACAATCTTCTTCTCTCTCCTTAATATTATATTATTATTTCTATTTCATTTTTGTTTTCTTATTCCATAATCTTTTTTTTCGAATAATCATCCTATATAATTTCATGTAATATAAAATATTAATTTTTTGAAAATATTAAATTATATTTTATTCTAAATTTCTAAAGAACAACTATGAATAATTGAAAAAATAAATCAACTAGCACAACCACAACTTCTCTAAATCATACACTAATTCCTTTTTGGAATATCGTTAAATCTAGAAACGACCTACCGGATTACTAAATTATTGTTGTGAATTTTAAAATTATTATGTTATGCATTGTATTGTATTGTTATCTTGTATTTAAATTATTATGTTATGTATTACATTTGTAGATTAAAATTTTTATCTTATCATTTAAATTTTGTGCATTCTTCATAGTGAAAATTAATAATAACATCAAATTGTATCACAAAGTGACGAAAAAAAATATATATTATTAATTCGAGATGAAAGTAGTATATATAAAATAAAATATTTTTTAAAAAAAGTTATATTACATTTAAAAAGAATGGCAAATATTAGAGATTTAATTAATAGCCTTATATGAAAAATAATATGTTAATTAGAAAATAGTAGAAATAATAATATAATATTCAAAAAGTGAAATAGAGAGTATGAATTTGGAGAATTACTATTCAACTCTCTATAATTGGAGAGTAAAGGGTAAAATAGAGAGTGGCTGGAGATGACATTCTCTATTTTACTCTCAAATTATAGAGAATAAAGAATAAAATAAAGTAGGGTTGGAGATGGTCTAAGAATATAGCACTATGAGCCCAAAACTCAAAGAAAGGTGATGGGTTTAGTGATTAGAATTTGATTCTTGAAATCATTAAATTCAATGTTTTGAAAAATGCAATAGAGAAATGACTATAATAAATAATAAGAATATATT